GCATGAGCACAGGAGACAGGTGTGCAAGTGCAAGGCATGTTTTGAGAATGGCCCGTAGCTCAGTACCAGGGGCCACAGGACACGGGGGAAAGCTGTGGTCAGATGGGACTAGAGGCAGGGTCACATCCAAAGGAGCTTAAATGATAATTAGAGAAGATTAGACTGTTCTATAGGCAACAGAGAACTTAGAGTGGAAAGATTTGTGGACTGGATACCTGTTTCTGGTCCCAGCTCTACCCCTCCTAGCTTAGGAGACATTAAGCAAGTGATTTCCTCTCTGGGGAGCCCTCTTCACTCTGGTTGAATGAGGGGGTTGCACCAATGACATGATTTTTAAGATCCCTTCTAGTTCAGATTTTATTCCTGCTTCTCCTTCCAACTATATGAAAAGATCCATTCCTGCAACTCTTCTCTCGTCCATTGGCTCCCTAATCCATGGTGGTGACAAGATCTCCAGAAGGACCAGTGGCAAAACTGTGCATCCCAGGAGTTGTCTCTGTATTCCCTACATGCTTATGTGACTCCCCCCACTCTGCCTCTATCACATTTCCAGGCACTTAAGACACTCATTTTTAAGAGTAGCTGAAACAGAGCAATGGGTAAACCAAAAAAAACCAATGGTGGTGGTTCACTTTCCCCAGAAAAATCTGAAAGAAAATATCACTAAGATACCCACTTAATCCTTCAGATCACAGCTGTATGCCTCCACCTCCAAGTTAGAGGTCAGGTGAGTTCAAGTACAGAACATTTAGGGAGAAACTGCTAATGTGCAAGAAATAGTAGCAATAGTCTGTGGAAGAAGAGAGTGTGTCTGGCTTGTTCAGGGGACCAGGAGTAGGTCTGGAGCAGAAAAGGCCATGAGAGAAGAGACTCTAAAGGAAGATTAACTCCTCCAAAACTTACCACCTTGCCCCCTTACTGTGGAGCAGGTCTGGAGCAGAAAAGGCCATGAGAGAGGAGACTCTAAAGCAGGGGTGGGCAAACTTTTTGACTCGAGGGCCACAATGGGTTCTTAAACTGGACCGGAGGGCCGGAACAAAAGCATGGATGGAGTGTTTGTGTGAACTAATATAAATTCAAAGTAAAAATCATTACATAAAAAAGGTTAACTCCTCCAAAACTTACCACCTTGCCCCCTTACTGAATCCTCAATTAACATGGGTGGGAATCTGTAGTGCAGGAAAAAGCAGTAGTCATGGAGTTAGAGGAGATGATGCCCAGAACACAAGGAGGCTGTGTTTGGTGTGATATGCAGCTGAGATGTCAAGGAATGCTGCCATTAGTAGTAAAAAGATCACTGAACAGCATTCCATGGGTCACTTTACCTACTGAGCTTCAGTTTCCCCATCTACAAAATGCAGGGGTTGGCCTAGGACAGTGATGGCGAACCTTTTGAGCTCGGCATGTCAGCATTTTGAAAAACCCTAACTTAACTCTGGTGCCGTGTCACATATAGAAATTTTTTGATATTTGCAACCATAGTAAAACAAAGACTTATATTTTTGATATTTATTTTATATATTTAAATGCCATTTAACAAAGAAAAATCAACCAAAAAAAAGGAGTTTGCGTGTCACCTCTGACACACGTGTCATAGGTTCGCCATCACTGCCTTAGACAGTGGTTCTCAACCTTCTGGCCCTTTAAATACAGTTCCTCATGTTGTGACCCAACCATAAAATTATTTTCGTTGCTACTTCATAACTGTAATGTTGCTACTGTTATGAATCGTAATGTAAATATCTGATATGCAGGATGGTCTTAGGCGACCCCTGTGAAAGGGTCGTGCTGCCTCCTGCACACCCCCTACTGGGGATCAAGCCCACAACCTGGGCATATGCCCTTGACCAGAATCGATGCTCTATCCATTGAGCCAAACCAGCTAGGGTCCCTCCCCTCTTTGGTTATTTTAGAGAGAATGGAAGGGAGGGAGGGAGGAAGAAATGGGGGAAGAGAGAAACATTGATGTGAGAGAGACACATTGATTGGTTGCCCCCTGCATGTGCCCCGGGGATCAAACCTGCAACCCAGGTACATGCCCTTGATTGGAAATTGAACCCATGATCCTTGGATGTGTGGGCTGATGCTCTAACCACGGAGCAACACCAGCCAGGGCTAACTGATCTTTAAAATCTCTTTCAGCTTGGTCAGTTCCTTCCTAACTGGCCTATCTCCTATTTTAAGTTAAAGACTCTGCAGGGCAATAGCTTTATCTCCCTTGTCATTATGAACTTCATAATCAGTGACTATCTTGGAGCCAAGGAGCTCAGAAAGAGGAACAAAACTGCAAATGTTGCCAACTGCCAGATCCCCAACTTGGGACCCAGAGGCAGGTCAACAAGAACCAACCTGTTCCTTTATCAGCTCTCTGCCTCTCCTGACCCAAAAGGACAGGATGTCCTCACACCTAGACCCTCTCCCCCACCCCAATCCAGCACATAAAAATCAGTAACTGTGGCTTCTTTTCTTTTCCCATCAGACTACAAGCATCCAGGTCCACACAGAGAAGTCCTCTCACTGAATCTCACCTCAAAGCCTACCCTAATCCTCTATCCCCACTTTCTGCATAGACTCTGTCTCCTCCTCAGGCTAGATCACCCCGGCAGGTGAACTATTAAGAGGAAAAATGAATAAATCAAGCAATTTGGTTCTCAGTTTCTCTAGGCTGGAATAGTAAGTGTAACTCAGTCCCAGGGCTCAGAATTTTAACTTGTGAGGAACAAATCTGCAACCTTCTCTATCTTGTGATTTGAGAGGCTCTAGAAAGCCCCCAAAATGCTTTTCCCACCAGCCTATCTGATCTTCCATAATCTCACAGTGTGGTTTTGTGATGTGTACCCTCTTTGGATATTAGAGCTGGCCGGAACCTATAATAAAACCCCTTCAGTTTATAGATGCAGACAGAAGCCGGGGGCCCAGAAAAGGGAAGTCACATGCCCAAAGGCACACACACAATCGCTGAACCAAGACAGCTCCTTGGGTTTCCATTTCCTTCCCTGTAAAATGACGGACGTTAGACTGGATGGACTCTGACGGCCCTGCCAACCTCTGTCCCACAAAAATAAAACCACCGCCATGTCTGTGGAGGGTCTGGTGCCAGACACTAAGTAATTTTCTTCTTTAATTTTCACAATGAGCTCTGCTACAGGTAGTGCTGATGCTGTTACCATGTGTATACCCAGTATATCCAAATAGGCTATTGTGAATATCCTTTGTTCCTATGTAAAATATCAACCCAAGTGCCAACTGCCATTCTACCACTTATATCATTCCCTTGGCTCTCCGGCCCTTCCAGTCTTTCAGAGGCTCCTGCTAAGACACCAGTACCCTTGAAAAAGGGAATGTTTTAGGCTGGTCGCTGAGCAGGAGTTCACATGTTAAACTGAGGTTCCTCAGGAAGTCTCCCAACTGAAACATTGTGGGCCTGGAGTTGGGGGGCAGCAATCAGAGGTCCCTTGGCCACTGTACAGTTCCTGTAACTGTAACCCTAGGCTGGCCTGGCCCAGCTGCTGCAGGAAGGGGAGGAGAAGAAGGGGGGGTCAAAGCCCACAGCAAGGCTATTGCACAACCCTTGGGGCCCAGCCTGGGGCGAGCCACCCTGGTTCTGAAGGTTTTTCTTTGTTCGCTTCCTTCCTTTTCTGCCCCCTCTCCCGCTTTCCAGTTCTGGGCCTCCCAACTCCGAGAGTGAATACTGAGACCGCAAATGTGTCCAGAGACATCCTAAAGAGGCTGAGGGGCTGAGGAGCCCTAGGGCGCCCAGAGGGAGATTCCTGAAGCCAACGCAGACCCAGAGGAATTTGCCGGGTATTTGGTGAGTTTTCCAAAGGACCCTTGTCACTGGGTTTTCTGCATTAAATCTTCCCCTCAATTCAGTCCACAGAGCAGCCAGAGTGTCCTCTCCAAGCACAGATCTGGTCCTTTTAAATACTGTTTCATGACTATTCCCCAACTACAGATAAAGTTCTAGCTCTGCAGATCCGGGTTGCCCTCCCTCTGTCCTGTCAGTTGAAAGCCCCCTGTAAGAATATCTAAGAAAGCTGGTAACAGTGACTGCCCTGGGCCACTAGAAATAGGGAGACTTCCCCTTCATTGTATGTCCTGTGAATCCATATTTACTTCTCAAAAATGAAAAATCAACTTTCATTTACATGGAAAATCATGTTTACATCAAAATATATTTTTAAAATCTTCACCATAATAAAAGTATATGCTCAAGCAAGTCTGGAAGGAGGCAAGGCAGGGATGATAATCCTTTTTAAAAATTGTGGTTATAAAAAAACCGCATAACATAAAATTGACCATGTTAACTATCTTTTAAGAGTACAGCTCAGTAGTATTAACTATATTTACATTGTTGTGCAGTAGTTTTCTATAACTTTTTCATCTTGCAAAACTGAAACTCTGTACCCACCAAACAACATCTCCTTATGTTAATCTTTTTGATAGATGAGAAAACTAAAGCCCAAATGGGGTGAGAAATTTATTTCTCTCAAAGTGGGCTCCTCCAGGCCCTTACACCGCCTGTCTGTTTTCTGAGGCCCCTTCCTCCCTCAACCCGTGCATTAGCCATTTCCTCCCCAAATGCCTCTCACATCCACATCGGCCCCTGCCCCCACCTTGCCATTCCCTAAGCCCCAGCTCAGGACTAAGTGTCTTCCAGCTGAACTATTTCAAGCCCCTTGTGTCACTGGGTTTTCTGTCTTAAATCTCACCCTCAATTCAGTCCACATAGCAGCCAGTGTCCTCTCCAAGCACAGATCTGGTCCTTGTATCCCCTTTTTAATACTGTTTCATGGCTCTCCCTCAACTACACATAAAGTTCTAGATCTGCAGTCTGGCACTCAAGACCCTCCATGATCTGGTTCAACCAGTATCTCCATCCCACATCCTATCGTAGCCCTCCATACATCTCACACTCTAACCGCTTAATGCTCCTTTCCATTCTTTTAAACATTTTATGTGCTTTCTGGTTGTCATGCTTTTGTTCATCTGTTTCCTTTTCTTGCCTTTCCTAGAAACTCTTCAAGGTCCACTGGAATGCCTCCATCACTGTGAACATTTTCTGAGTCCTGATCAAAATTCATCTCTTCTTCCTTAAGCTCCAGTAGACCTTGGCTTGTCCCCTGTATTATAAAGAGCTGGCAATGTGCCCACAGTACAGGGACTGGGTCTGAGCCTACCCAAGAGTGAGCCTTCATAAATGATGACTGGTTGAATCATTAGTTGAGCCATTAATTTCTGTTCCTGATTTCCATTGGCCTATATGAGGGGAAAAGGCACAGATTTGTTGCCTGACAAGTGGGGTAGATGAGAACTTATGCCTCCTGGGTCTTAACTCAGCGAGCCCTTGTTCTTTTCCCCTTCTCCAATCAGATAAGGTAGCCCAAGTGCTATATAGCATGGGGCTCCAGAGGCCTTGTAGGAAATGTGGGCCAGTCCTGGACTGTATTATTTAGATTCTTCTCCCCCCGCCACCCCCACCCCCCACACACAACTTCTGCATTTTTAGAGTTGTTCATGAATTTTATCATAGTTCATGAATTTTACCATCATCTTTTCTGGGAAAGAGACCTTATAGTTAATAATCAAGTTTGTTAACTTTGGTTGACAGCTCTACCTAGATAAAGGAGGGCTTCAGAACCAGTCAGTAACTCTTGAGTGCTTGGACTATGGAGAAGTCCCTAACCTGGCCATCTTTACTCAAGACTATTGAGGAAAGGAGAACACCCAGCCAGTCTCAGGTTAGAGCACCAGGGAAGGAGAATTCCCAGGAAATCTCAGGATAGCCCCATAGATGTAGGGAAGAGACACAGCTCTGCTGACCAGGAGCATGTGGTCTGCTGATACCTTTATCAATAACAAGAGAACAGCCACACAAAGCCTTATATGTAAGTGCTGGGCAAAGGGAAGGCTGTTCTGATAAAGCTTGTGGAGTATGGTTAAGGGGTGGGGAATACTCAGTGAAGGTTTCCAGAAGGAAGTGGGTGTAGAGCCTTGTTTAAAGGGAATGGCATGGTTTTTTAGAGACTAGGACACAAAGCTGTCTTCGGATGTGGTTTTCTATATTATAGACTAAGGGTCTCCAGAAGAAGGAAAAGAAACATTTACCATCACCTATCATATGCTGGGTATGCAGTGACTTCCACCCCCGGATCGCTGTAGCGCCCACCGGGGGGCGGTAGCGCCCACTTTGGGAATCACTGGTGTAGAGCCTTGTTTAAAGGGAATGACATGGTTTTTTAGAGACTAGGACACAAGGCTGTCTTCGGATGTGGTTTTCTATATTATAGACTAAGGGTCTCCAGAAGAAGGAAAAGAAACATTTACCGTCACCTATCATATGCTGGGTATGCAGTGACTGTGTCAGAAGGCAGGATAGTTGAGGTGCTGTGTCTTCTCTCTCTTGGGGGCAGGTAAAACCCCAAACCAGACTGAGTACCCCTGTCACTCCCCATCCTCCAGTCCAACCCTATTCTCTTCTCCAGTGCCTGCAGGGGTTATCAGCCTCTCCCTGCTTCCCCAGCCATTCCTTTCCAATAGAATTTCCTACAGAATCCTTCTCAGCAAAATCCTAAATAGGTAGGAATACTCAGAGTGCTTGGGACATAGGATGCTTGAGAAGTCAAATGACCCAGCTTCTGGTTCTAGGTAAGGTGAAATCTAAGCCATCCCCAAACATCTCAATGGGACCTGTGGAGTATAAAAAAGAACTGTGCTGAAGGAGAGTCCTGAGGAAAACTTCCAGTAATGCCACACAGTCCTGCCAAGAGCTGGCATGAGAGTCGAGAAACTCTAACTAGCCATCAAAAAGCAGGACTCTGTCTAAACTCTACCTCTGAATATTCTCTGGGATCATGGTCAAGCCACTTATTCTCTCTGTTCCTATGTATGTATGTATGTATGTATGACGGAGTTAGATAAAATAATCCCTAAATTTCTTCTAGCCTAAAGCTCAGTGACTTACAGAATAAAAATAAAAATAAAAATAAAAAAGACAGATGGGTTGCAATCCAGCCCAACCCTATTCTCTTCTCCAGTGCCTGCAGGGGTTATCAGCCTCTCCCTGCTTCCCCAGCCATTCCTTTCCAATAGAATTTCCTACAGAATTCTTCTCAGCAAAATCCTAAATAGGTAGGAATACCCAAAGTGCTTGGGACCTAGGGTGCTTGAGAAGTCAAATGACCCAGCTCCTGGTTCTAGGTAAGGTGAAATCTAAGCCACCCCAAACATCTCAATGGGAACTGTGGAGTATAAAAAAGAACGGTGCTAAAGGAGAGTCCTGAGGAAAACTTCCAGTAATGCCACACAGTCCTGCCAAGAGCTGGCATGAGAGTCGAGAAACTCTAACTAGCCATCAAAAAGCAGGACTCTGTCTAAACTCTACCTCTGAATATTCTCTGGGATCATGGTCAAGCCACTTATTCTCTCTGTTCCCCTGTATGTATGTATGTATGTATGTATGTATGACGGAGTTAGATCAAATAATCCCTAAATTTCTTCTAGCCTAAAGCTTAGTGACTTACAGAATAAAAAATAAAAAGACAGATGGGTTGCAATGGCCAAGGAAGGCTTTATTCCACAGGTACTTATTGAGCATCTATTGAGTGCTGTCATGAGGGCTTGTATATAACAGTGAGTAAAACATAGTCCCTGCCTTCATGGAGCTTGCCATCTAGTGGCGAAACAGACAAGTAAACAAGTACAATAAGCTGTGATGTTGGGGTTTTAGCTGGGGTCTGAAGGAGTGAGATCAGTCAAGCTGCAGGTAATGGAAACCATCCTTCCTTTTTCTGTTGCCACCAGAGTGTCCTCCAGTTCTTCCCCACCTGAATCCCTGTTGCTATGGAGACCTCCAATGGGACTGAGACCTGGTATCACAGTCTGCACGCTGTTCTGAAGGCTCTAAATGCCACTCTTCACAGCAACTTGCTCTGCCGGCCAGGGCCAGACAACCTGACTGAGGAGCGGCGGGCTAACCTTCCCGGCCGCGATGACAACTCCTACATGTATATTCTCTTCGTCATGTTCCTATTTGCTGCCACTGTGGGCAGTCTCATCCTGGGATACACCCGCTCCCGCAAAGTGGACAAGCGCAGTGACCCCTACCATGTGTACATCAAGAACCGTGTGACTGTGATCTGATGTTAGGAACTAGGGTGGCTGAAGATCAAGACAGCCGGGGATTGTCTTCTGGGGCCTCCAGAACTCAGCCATGGATCACATCAGGCCTCTGTTCCTTTCTGTAAGATCAACAAGAAACAGTGCTAGGGGATGCCATCACTGGGCTGGGAGGAGAGGGGCTTTTTTCCATCAAAGATAGACTTGATAGACAGTGGGAACTATGGACAATCATGTAGAAGTAGCAAAAGATAATAACCGATGACTGGTCCTGTGGCTGGAGTATTGGGGGCTGGGGTTTTGGACTTGAGGAAGGAGAAAAGGAAGTTGCAGCGGAGGGAAATAAAACAAGAAGATGTACTGAGGACACATTTGTGTGTGTGTTATCTTCAGTGACCACGAGAAGCAGAAATGATTATCCCATGTTACAGATAGTACAATGTTACTTACTTATTTTTGTTCACATTTTATGTTTTTCAACCCATTTAACATTTGTGATTTTACGCCCCTGTGAGGGAAGCATGCCGTCCATTTGGGCCAGAGCAGTGCCACGAGTGGAAGTCAGAAACTCTGATCTCCTTGCCCAGTGCTTCTCAAAGCACTGTGCTGCACAGGAGTGGATCAAAGCCTAAAAGTCAGTCACACAATTCTGGGGGCCCTCCTTAAAAAGAATTCAAAAATATCCTACTTATGCAATTAGTATCCTAAAAGTCACACAATTCTGGGGGCCCTCCTTAAAAAGAATTCAAAAATATCCTACTTATGCAATTATTACAAAAGTATATTACCACTAGAGGCCCGGTGCATGAAATTTGTGCACTCAAGGGGCGGGGGGAGGGGGAAGGAGGGTCCCTCAGCCTGGCCTGCGCCCTCTTGCAGTCCGGGAGCACGCAGCGGGGTGTCCAACTGACATCCTTAGTGCTGCCACAGAGGCAGGAGAGGCTCCCGCCACTGCTGCTGCACTCGCCAGCCACAAGTCTGGCTTCTGGCTGAGCAGCGCTCCCCCTGTGGGAGGGCACTGACCACCAGGGGGCAGCTCCTGCATTGAGCATCTGCCCCCTGGTGATCAGTGCTCATCATAGTGACCAGTTCCACTGTTCGGTCGATTTGCATATTAGCCTTTTATTATATAGGATGTTAAAACATTCCTAGGACCCCTCCTGAGACCTAAGAAGGAGCCATGCGTGCACAGGGCTCTGAATGTTAAACCTCATTAGCTCCATGGTTCATGTGCCTCTCCAGCCATGTCACAATGGTGCCCTTCCCAGCCACAACTCCAGCATCGAGGTTTCACTACCTCTAACGCAGCCTCTTCCATTTGGATTGAGTTATGTGAGAGATTTTCTGATACCAAGTTGAAATCTGCTTCTACAAGATTATTATCACACCTGGAAAGTTATCCTATTAAAAGAAGCAGGGTGTGCAAGGCCGATACCTGGCTCAGTGGAAAGAGAACCAGTCCTGATTCTACCACTAATGTGATATGTGACACTGGCTGGACACTTCTCTCTCTGATCCTTTTTCCTCTTCAGCACTGAAGTGAAACTGTTAGACTTGAAAGACTCTAAGAGCTTTACCAGTTCTGACATTCTAGGCTTCATGTACAATAGGTTGAACCATTGCCGTGTTTCTGAGCCAAAAACAGCCGAATATCAGCAGGTGAATACTTTACAAGCTCCAAACCACAGGCTAGAGACCCTCCCACTGTTTGGTTTGATTTCTATTTAAGAAATCTCCATGGGGGTCTCCAAAAGGCCCTGTTGAAACAAACATTTTCATGTATAGCAAAAACCTGAAAGACTATTTTGATAACAGTTTTCTTTGAGGAGAAGGATTATGGGTGATGCTCCCTTTCTACTTTAAAATTTTATGTACTATTTGTTTTATTTGACCATAAGTATGTTACTTCTATAATAAGGGAGAGGGGCTTCTTCTATTTTGAAAAAATAAAAATAAATGCCTATGTGTTTCTCTTTTTTATTGTTGACACTATTACAGATGTCCCTATTTTGCCCCCTTTCTCCCTCTCCACCCTTCACCACACCCTTCACCACATTGTTGTCTGTATCCATGGGCTATGCATATATGTTAATGCCTATGTGTTTCTTGCATGGAGGATCACAGAACATGTTTGCTCCCAGGAACAATTATGTTCACCCCCTGAAAATCTGTGCTAAACCCATATGTGCTCAAGCCTTCCCTTATCTCTTCTTGAGGGAGAAGGTGGAGACCTGCTGAAGAAGATGTGGCATATGGGAAAATAACAGACTCAAAGTGTATAGCTGGATGGGACTTTAAAGACCACCCAGCCCCAAATCCCAATAAAATACGGAATGGCAGTCAAGTGTAAGAATGAATGGGCAGGTGATAGATGCTTAAAGAGTTTTGAGAAATGAGATTGAGTAGATCTAGGAGTCAGAGAAAGGTAGAATTTGAACTAGGCTTTGAAAGATAGGGCAGAGTGAGTGAAGGGAACAAGACAAGGGAAGCTTAGAGACAGAAATGGGGCAAGACCACCCCTGAAGAGAGAAGGCAGGCCCAGTGTGGCTGCTCTGAATTTCAGTCCCCATCCAGGAGGAGACTCCCCTTCACACAGTCTTTATACTCACAGGGCTTAATTAATAAAATAATACAAAGTCTTTTGCTTGCAAGTTGCAGAACCCCAATATATATTAGCATAATCACAAAGGAGGGTTTATTAAGAGGAGTAGGGGGTAGTCACAAGTTCAGAGAGAGGCTGCAGACAGTAAGGCAACTCCAGGGATCTCCTGGCCTAAAATTACTTACTTGTCTGAATTCACAAAGTAGGGGCTCAGTATATCTCACACTCCCAGGGTGGGACTAAATAAAATTCTAGGAGTTTAAGGTGGTATAATGTGAACACTCTAATAGTCTATGATATAGTTAGTCCCCTCAGCCCTCCCACCCTCTATCCTACCCCAATTGTCTGGGAGTGCTATCCCACTCTTCTCTCAGCCCACAGAACATGTTTGCTCTTTTGTCTGCACTGGGTCTGCCCTCTGCTGGCCAGATCCAGCATATCACTTTGAGCCCTCAAAGCCAAATTTCAGTAATTACTCATTCAACAGATATTTATTGAATGCCTACTATGTGCCAAGCTCTCATTTAGGCACACACGGGATACACAAGTAAAGAAAAAAGATCAAAGAAACCTCCACCCAACAGATAAGAGCATTTTCTACATGTGAGGCAGTGGTCTAAACATTTTACACACATTAACTCGCTTACCTTTTAAAACCTTCATAACAACCTTATTTAGTAGATGCCTTACAATTACTTCAATAAAACCCACTTGTTCTTCATCTAGCCCCTTCAGTACCTTCAACCCAGTATCCGCATGTTGGCACACCCAGCCCAGAGCGTGGATCTGAACAGTCCCCAGCAATGAATGGGAAAGTGATGTGGGGAAATGATGGCAGAGTATTGGCACCAGTAGACTGAAGTTGGAAGAAGAGATTGAGATAGGCATCCATTGAGGGAGCACTTTTCAGGGAGAACCTGCAAGGGAGAGAGTGAGGTAGAAAGGAAAGGGGAAAAGCCAAACAAGGTGTGTCTCAGGTCATGACTAGCCCTGGCCTGATGGACAGGGAACTGTTAGACATGGCTGGGGCATAAACCACATGACAGGATTACACCCCCTTGAGTTAAGGGGGCAGGACTTTGAGGCCCCCATATCAGTCAGTCATTGGTTGAGGCCCATCCGTGTAGGGAGCAAGGACAAGTGGAGGGTTATGAGGAGGTTCCATCAGCTGAGGGCAGTTTTCTGGAGAAGGGTGGAACCTGTGAGCTGGTGCAGGCTAGAGCAGTGGGAGAAAGCTAAGCAAGGAAGTTGTCTTGACTGGAGATTAACAACAGCCTGGTTCTTCAGGAAGATTCTAAAGCTCAATTTCCATCACAGAATTGGCTCCATCTTTTGTGACCATCTTCTTCTACCCCATGGCAGTCAACATTGGCTGCTGGCCGCTAGGGGAAGCAATTAACCTCCTACGAGGCTCACATCTGGCTGAGGCCAAGTCTTTGGAGAAGGGGCATCTCTGAGCTGATGGCAACCAAAACAGCAGCTGGGGAAATGGGTCTGCGTGGGGCTCTGTCAGCATGTACTACAGCTGTGATTTGGGGGAAATGAGCAGAAGCAAGAGTGTCACATCCTGAGAGATCCTTCTAGTTTAAGAGACAAGAGCACACACCAAAAAAAAGAACAAAACAAGATAACACCTAAGCAATAAAAACATTTAAAAAAGAACTGGTAGGATTTGATTAGAATGCTCTATTCAGTCACCCAGGGACTCAGAATAATGATTACTGTCCTCAACATGTAGCTTCCAAGTTTACTATGGTGTAAACATTTCTTTCTCTCTTTTTTTTTCTTATATTTTTATTGATTTCAGAGAGGAAGGGAGAGAAAGATAGAAACATCAATGATGAGAGAGAATTATTGATCGGCCGCCTCCTGCACTCCCCCCACTGGTGATCAAGCCCACAACCTGGGCATGTGCCCTTGATCGGAATTGAACCCGGAACCCTTCAGTCCGCAGGCCGATGCTCTCCAGTGGTCGGCAAACTGCGACTCTCGAGCCACATGCGGCTCTTTGGCCCCTTGGGTGAGGCTCTTCCACAAAATACCGACTTCTGCGCATGGGCCACGAAGTTTCAGTCGCACTGTATGTGCGTGCCCGCACGTGGTATTTTGAGGAAGAGCCACACTCAAGGGGCCAAAGAGCCGCATGTGGCTCGCGAGCCGCAGTTTGCCGACCACAGCTCTATCCACTAAGCCAAACCAGCCAGAGCGGTGTAAGCTTTTCTAATTAGTGAAGAGAGATAAAGAACAGAAGTCCAGCGCCAGAGATTTACTCTTAAACAAGCAAGGCAAAAGCTGCATAAAGCCTCCTGCCCACATCCATTGATGAGGGCTTAGTAACATGGCTACAACTGGCCGCGAGGGGCGCTGGCAAATGAGGCTCCAATCTGGGCAGTCACGTTCCAGCCAAATCTCTATTACTATGGAAGGAACTAATGGATTTTCACGGACAGCTAGTAGTCTTCACCCCATCCTTCTCACCCTTCCCCCAAGATTGGTCATGATAAAAAAATGTACAGTCCTGCCAGGAAGGAAGAAGTGCTGCTACTCTGATTCGACCTTTTGGTTTGTTTTGGGGTTTTTTGTTTGTTTATTTGTTTTTTGTGTTTGTTTTTTGGGGGGTGGGGATGGGGGAGGGAGGTCTTGTGGATATAACTAAACCTGTTCTGGGAGTGTGACTTTTACTCATTTTTTTCTGGCACTGGTCTCTCCTCTCATTGGTAATGTCTAAGATACGGGTCTAGGCATGGGAGAAATAGACAAAGCAAGG